CCCTTCCTTGTTGAATACAGATCAGAACTCTAGTAGTTGGAAACTAAGCAGCGTCATACTTCCCTAGCCTTAGGCTGCTATGCCCCTTAAATTTAAAATTATAAAGTATACAACAGGTTTGGGGTACAGATTTTGAGAAATTAAAAAAAAATTTTTTTGAGACAGAGTCTCCCTCTGTCACCCAGGCTGGAATGCAGTGGCATGATCTCAGCCCATTACAACCTCCGCCTCCCGGGTTCAAGCGATTCTCCTGCCTCAGCCTCCCGAGTAGCTGGGATTACAGGAGCCTGCCACCACGCCCGGCTAATTTTTTGTATCTTTAATAGAGACGGGGTTTCACCATATTGGTCAGGCTGGTCTCGAACTCCTGACCTCAAGAGATCCGCCCGCCTTGGCCTCCCAGAGTGCTGGGATTACAGGCGTGAGCCACCGAATCGGGCTGAGAAATAAAATCTGAGAATAAGTGTAATGTGACCCACTAGTGTCCTCTACATTTCGAAGTCAACTTTTCAATAATCCCTGCAGAACTACTTGAAAGGCATTCCTTCGCTAGGGCGATGATCCCCGATCGCTATTTTACCCATCCAATCCTACTAGTTTACCCAAGCCCCCACAAGCCTCATCAGATCCCTCCTGCCTCAGCACATACAGACCTTTGGTCGGATCTATCACTGTACCTATCGTAAGTCTGATGCCCCTATCAAGACTTGGAGTTTTCCTAATGCCCATGTCTTTCACATCACATCTCTCAACTCATAGCATTGCCGTACCCTGAGAAATAAATGACACTGGTACAAAATTTCTCTGAAACCTTAGAAGTCTGGCGCTGAACTCAACAATTTTAGCTTAGTCCGCAAAAATGGACTAGCTAATATTGTGTTAGGCATAATGGTGCTGTTTTAACGGCTCGGACATCCAATTATTCTTTCACCAAGCCATTAACCAGAGCCGAGTTTGCCCTAGGCTGGGAAAACGAGTGCTGTGAAGTGAACACTGGGCTGTAACCGCCTCCGATTCCGACTCACACCCAGGGACCCTCCCACGCGGTTCCTGCGCCCCCTCGTGGCCTCCCTCCTGCGGTTCGCTGCACAAGCGCAGGACCCGGAGCGGGGAGGGGCGGGCCCTCCAGGCACTCGGCACACCCAATTGGCCAGGCCTCAGCGCGTGTGGGCGGGGCTGCGGCTGGATCGGAGGAGTCTCCTGAAGAGCGCCTTCAGGGGGCGTGGCCTGGATTGTGGGGGGGCGGGCCGTGGGGGGAGCTGCTTCCGGGTGAGCACCCCCGCCCCCCACATGGTCCCTGGGAGACGGGAGCGGGAGACAGCGGTGACAGGCGCAGCGACCGGGAGGCCTTAGGGAGGCAGGTGAGCGAGGGCTGGATGCGGGGAGATGGCGGACTTGGAGGACGGCTCCAGGGCGAGGCGGGGACTGTGGCACCAAGAGTCCCGCGTCCCCAGATTGTGCTGTGCGCCTGAAGCCCTGGCGGTGCAGCCGTGTACGGAGTCCCGTGGAGCGTTTGGTCTAGATTGTTTGGTCTAGATTGTCCCACTGCAGCCGGGGTTGGAGGCCCGGGTTCGGGGCTCCGCGCCTCTTCTCTGGGGTTTAGCCCCTCGGATACCGCCGGGACAGACTCCATCGATGCAGAGCCCGAGGTGTGGGTGGTGGTTGGTGGTTGGTGGTTGGGGGGCGGGTAGGGAGGTGAAAACACTAACAGCCGTTTTGTACTAAGCATTGTGTGCATTGACCCTTTTTTTTTTAAAATTTTGAGATGGAGTTTCGCTCTTGTTGCCCAGGCTGGAGTGCAATGGCGCGATCTTGGCTCACTGCAATCTCCGCCTCCCGGGTTCAAGCGATTCTCCTGCCTCAGCCTGCCAAGTAGCTGGGATTTCAGGCATGTGCCACCATGCCGGCTAATTTTTGTATTTTTAGTAGAGACAGCGTTTCTCCTTATTGGTTAGGCTGGTGTCGGACTTCCAACCTCAGGTGATTCGCCCGCCTCGGCCTCCCAAAGTGCTGGGATTACAGGCGTGAGCCACCACGCCCGGCCTGACCCATTCATTTCTTACAACAACCCACTGAGGTCGGTTCAAGTCCCCATTACTAAACAAAGAAACGGAGGTCACACAACTAGAAAGCTACAGAACTAGGATTTGTACCCACATCTATCAGACTCCAGAGCCCACACACTTAACCATCCTGCTACCAACAGCAACCAGGTCCAGAGTCAGTTCACCCAAAGCTCTCCACAAGCCCAACATGCTGGGAAACAGATTTGATATCTATCCTTAAAGTATGGAGGTGTCATGGTGGGCACTGAGGACCGGGCTGCTGGAGACCTTCCCCCAGATCTGCCGCTGACCCACTGCTTGATCCTGGACCTGTGTCTACCCCTCTCTGAGCCCAGTTTCACCCTTGTTTCAATCAGCAAACTTTAAGAAGCCTCTTAGCCAAGATATTCTAGGATTCTGGGAATGGCAGCTTCTCCTTCTACGTCCAGATGGCTAACCCCAGAGAGGGTCAGGCTCTTCAAAACCCCAGGGCAAGGCTGGGTTCTCATTCTTCGCTTTAATCCCTGTGTCTAGCACTTCAGCAGGCCCACAGTAGATATTCAGGAAGTGTGGGTTGGCTAAATGAACACTTCGTCCCTTTTGAGAACTGCTTGACAGCCACTCTCCTGGGCCTTTGTGGGGCTTTGGATTTCTCAGTTCTGGCCACCTTCTACCTAGCTGGCTCTCCTGACTGCCTCCTCTGTGACCAGTGGCAGAGCCTGCCAGGGCTGGCAGCAGGTCCTAATCCTCTGTGCCAAGACCCACAGCCTCTGGAATCCTCAGCATAGTACAACATGCGGGGGTGGGGGGTGGTGTATGAAGCTCTGTCTCAGCCCCTCCTAGTGGCAGCGCTCAGGGCCCAACTTCAGTTACTCCCAGTTTGGGGATGTTGCCTTCCATGGGAGGAGATGCTTTCATATTAAATCTGAAACACTTATTATCCTTCACTGTCCCCTCTTCCATGAAACTACCCTTGACTCAGAGACACAGTCCCTTTCACAGCACCTGGGCCACCCCTCTACTCTGGCAGCTGGATGGTGATTATTTTGTTTTTCCTTCACCACATAACCTGCTGGAAGGCAGAGACTCCACTTCAGAAATCTTGGAAAACCCTGTGGCCCTCAAGGGTTTGAGCGCATATTCCCATCTGGTGAGGTGCAGAAGGTACAGAGCTGTGCCAGGACTTCTTGTTCCAACCCAGCCCCACTCCTAATAGTAATAAAATTAGCTACATGTTTACTGTGCAGCTACTTGGTGCCAGACACCTACCTCAGCCCTATCAATAATCTCCACAGCCTTGCAAGTTAGAGATATCATGCCTATTTTGTAGATTATGAAACGAACACTGAAAGGTCAATGACTTTGCCCAAAATTACACAGCAGAACATAGACCTTTGTAACTGGGACTGTCTGACCCTGAAACATAGTTCTTTCTGCACTGCCCTATACTCTGCGTCCCAGCAAAGCTAACCTGTCTGATGTGGGTGGACAGAGGTGCTGGACCTCCTGGTGGCTCGCTCCTGTCTTCAGTGTGATGATGTCACAGGAATTTAAGTTGTGGTTTGCAAGCTCACTTGATTTGGGAGAAGTGCCCTCCCAGTCTGTGAAATCCTCCCAAACTCTAAGGGCCTTTTTGCAAAGCAAAACCCATCCTGCATTTGGCGCTGCCAAGTGGAGTGGGAAACTCCACTTATTAAGCAAGTTTAATAACAACAGAATGACTCTATGGTGTAGGTATCAGGGCATTGAAATAGAAGTCAGGAGCTGCAGGGTCAGTTTCTAGCTCTGTATGTCATTCACTGTGATCTCCAACAAGTCCCGTTGACTCTCTATACCCCATTTACCACATTAAAATGTAAGGGACTAAACAGGATTGGCAATTTTCAAGCTTTTAATATTTTCAGCACTGACACCCGTTTCTCAAATCAAATCTCTCTCTGAATCTTAAAATTCAAAAACAGATCAAAGTGAACTGCTATAGTGAGACTGTTCCCTTTACTCTAACCCTGCCCTGGTCTCAGGGGCTCCTAGGCAGCCCTGCCACAGGGTTTCTGCTAAGCAGGAGCCAGTAGTTCCCTCAGCTCCTAAAGGCGATGAGGAGTTGAGGCCAGTGGAATGCAGCTTTGGATTCTAGAAGCCAGAAAACAACAGAAGTTGTTTGTGGGAAGTGAATCAGAGAGATGAGCCCTCTCTTCAACATCTGACTAGACTCTAGAATGGCATTAAGCAAGTCACTAAACCACTCAGAGCCTCCGTTTCCTTATCACTAAAAGTTAGAACAATTCTTGCAATGAAATGAGATACTACTACGAAGTACCTTAGTGCTGTGCCCAGCACAGAATGAATACACTCAGTATGTTTTCCTTTTGTTTATTCTGTCTCTCCAGCGCCCAAAGCAGAAACAGTATGGGCAAAGAGACGCCTACTGAATCAGGTGTTTATCAGTATTAAGGAATACAGCATATAAAACCCAGCATTTGGAGTCCAGAACAAATTCAAATTCTGGCTCGGTCACTAAGTAGCTATGTGGTCTTGGGCAACTGGGTTACATTTTGGTAATTCTCTCAATATTCAAAAATAGTCTCTCAGCCAGGTGCGGTGGCTCACACCTGTAATCCCAGCACTTTGGGAGGCAGAGGCTGGCGGATCACTTGAAGTCACGAGTTTGAGACCACCAGCCTGGCCAACATGGCGAAACCCTGTTTGTACTAAAAATACAAAAATTAGCTGGGTATGGTGGCACATACCTGAAGTCTCAGCTACTTGGGAGGCTGAGGCAGGAGAATCACTTGAACCCAGAGGGTGGAGGTTGCAGTGAGCCAAAATCGAACCACTGCACTCCAGCCTGGGTGACAGAGCTGGACTCCATCTCAATTAAAAAAAAAAAAGAAAAGAAAAGAAAAAGAAACTTCAAGCAGACATGAGAGCAAAATCAAGTAGAAAATGGGTACTCAGGACTATCTACTGAGTAATTGTCTGTTTGGAGGTTGAGACATGATTGGGGAGGCCTGGCCTGCCCCTGTGTCAGGTGATGGGGCTGGCCCACCCAGGGGTGTGGCAGCAGGGCTGGCCCCTGTGTGACTTGTGATAACCCCACCCTACCAAGGAGGAAGACCGGATAAAATGGGCCCCTGAGATGGCTGTGGGGAGCCAAAGGGGCCTAAGAGACTATGGGGAGAAGGACAGCCAGTTCCTAGGCAGCCCTGCCCCACTGTTTCTGATAAGCAGGAGGCAGTTGTTCCCTCAGCCTCCTGAAAGCAATGAGGAGTTGAGGCCATGGGAATGTAGCTTTGGATTCCAGAAGTCAAGGGCCTGTTACAAAGGTGGTTTTCTGGGAAGCAAATCAGAGGGATTAGACCTGGCTTCAACATCTGACTTGACTCCAGCCTACCAAAGGATCTCCCAGTTCACCTGGGAGTTAACACACCAGGGTTCTAGTCCTCTTACTTGCTGTGTGGCTTTGGGTAAGTCCTTGCCCCTCTCTGGACTTTGAGGTCCCATTCATACAAAGTGTAGTTGGACTCAGGCCAGCCAGCCCCCATTTTTGTGGCCCTTTTCCCCCCATCCTTTGGCTATGAGATATTCTCCCGGGCACCTCCAAAAGGAAGTGTCTAAAACAGAGCTCTCCACCTCCTCTCCAAGCCCAGCTCCCCACTGCCCTCTTCCTGCCCTGTCCCTGTCTCCGCTGCCCACCACGTCAGGCAGGCAGGCCTAGAGCATCTACCCTGAGACATTGCCTCTTGGCTGCCTTAAGACACCCCTTTCTTCTCTGCCCCCAGCCTCTGCATTCCTCTGCTTCCTGTCTGCTCTGCTCAGCCTGCAGGACTGATCTTCCTAAAGCCAGGTGTCAACCAGGCCACTAACCCTACCCACTGTTCAGAAATCTTCCCACAGCCTCAGCCTGGCCCCCTCTCATCCATCCCCTCCATACACACTTGCCCCGATTGCCTCCTCAGCTCCTCAGAACAGTCCACAGCCATCCTCCTTCCCCACCTTTGCCCCTTTCTTCCCTTCCTAAGGAAATGTTGGCCCCCTTCTCTCCACCAGGGTGAACCCATTCATCCTGCAAAACCAAGTTCAACCCCCTGTGATTTCGTGTTTTTCGGGTTTTTTTTTTTTTTTTTTTTTTGAGATGGAGTCTCACACTGTCGCCCAGGCTGGAATGCAGTAGTGTACTCTCGGCTCACTGCAACCTCCGCCTCCTGAGTTCAAGTGATTCTCCTGCCTCAGCCTCCAGACTCTGACTACAGATGCATGCCACCACACCCAGCTAATTGTTTTATTTTTATTTTTATTTCTGTTTATTTATTTATTGTGAGATGGAGTTTCTCTCTTGTTGCCCATGCTGAAATGCAATGGTGCCATCTTGGCTCACTGCAATCTCTGCCTCCCAAGTTCAAACGATTCTCCTGCCTCAGCTTCTGAAGTAGCTGGGATTACAGGCATGCGCCACCACACCCGGCTAATTTTTTTTTTATTTTTAGTGGTGATGGGGTTTCACCACGCCGGTCAGGCTGGTATCAAACTCCTGACCTCAAATGATCCACCTGCCTTGGCCTCCCAAAGTGCTGGAATTACAGGCGTGAGCCACCGTGCCTGGCCTAATTTTTGTATTTTTAGTAGAGACAGGGTTTCACCAGATTGGCCAGCCTGGTCTCAAACTCCTGACCTCAAGTGATCCACCCGCCTTGGTCTCCAAAGTGCTGGGATTACAGGTGTGAGCCACCGCACCCGGCCCCTGTCTTCTTCTAATACGCCTCTTCTGACCTCCTCACTCCCACTGGAGCCATGGCTCACTTCTGGTCAGGCTCCATGCACTCAGTCAGCCCTGCCTCGCAGGACTGCAGTACCCACTCAATGAGAAATCACCCGTGAAAATGCCAGGCATGGTCGGGCACACAGTAGGTGCTCAAGAAACAAATGTTAATGCCCCAGCTTCCTTCTGTCTTGTATCCACGAATTTGGCATTTGGGGCATATTTTTGTACTTCACGTAATTAAATATTTACTGTGTGCCGAGGTCAGTGTGTGACAGAGCACTGTGGGGGAGGCAAAAATGAACCAACTCTGGACCTTGCCCTGCAGAAGCTCTGTCTACTGGCACGAGATAAGACAGGTCCACAAATAACTTATAGAAGAGAGACTGCAATCTGGACAAGAAAGCCTCAGTGGGAGAGGGAAGGAGAACCCTGTAGATTTGGGTGTGGGGAGAGCACAGCCTTTCAGGTAAAGGGACAAAGTGAGGAAAGCAAGAAGGTGTACTTGTGCTCGTGGAGCCCAGGAAACTCCTTGGGCTAGAAAAGATTTGGTGGCACTCTATACAGTGTATGTATGTGTCTGTCTGTCCATCTGACATGAATGGTACTATTTTCTCCTATTGGTGTGAATTGTACCTAACAAGAAGTCCATGTCCCAAGGTGTTAGCAGTACTTTTCTCTTTTCTTTCTTTCTTTTTTTTTTTTTTTGAATGAAGTCTTGATCTGTCGCCCAGGCTGGAGTGCAGTGGCACGATCTCGGCTCACTGCAACCTCCTCCTGGGTTCAAGTGGTTCTCCTGCCTCAGCCTCCCCAGTAGCTGGGATTACAGGCACGCACCACCACGCCCAGCTGAATTTTTTTGTATTTTGAGTAGAGGTGGGGTTTCACCATGTTGGCCAGGCTGGTCTCGATTTCCTGACCTCAAGTGATCTGCCCACCTCAGCCTCCTAAAGTGCTGAGATTACAGGCGTGAGCTACCATGCCTGGCCAACAGTACTTTTTCTAGAGGTAGAATTGCAGGGGATTTTTCTCTTTTTGCTTATCTGCACTTTTCTAAAAGTTCTGCCATGAACATGGGCATTTTTCGTGGAATAAACAAAGTTTAAATATTGGCTTCTCAACATGCCCAGCTAGAAAATTATTTTTTTGGCCAGGCACCATGGCTCACGCCTGTAATCCCAACACTTTGGGAGGCCAAGGCAGGGAGATTGCTTGAGCCCAGGAGTTCGAGACCAGCCTAGGCAGCATGGCAAGACCTCCACCTCTACAAAAAATACAAAAATTAGCTGGGTGTTATGGTGCACACCTGTAGTCCCAGCTACTTGGGAGGCTAAGCTGAGAGAAGCAGTTGAGCTCGGGAGGTCAAGGCTGCAGTGAGTCGAGATTGTACCACTGCACTCCAGCCTGGGTGACAGAGACCCTGTCTGAAAAAAAAAAAAAAAAGAAAGAAAATAATTTTTTTAAAACAGTCGTTGCTTGCTCAGATGTTTACTTTAAAAGATAATAATGAACAGAAAGCAGTCATATAAAATACAAGCCCAAATTTTATATCATTAGATTCTGATTATTATGAAAGTTTCTAAAGACTTACTTTCATTTCTCAACTTACCTTGTTGACCAGCAGGCATTGGTGAACCATGCTGTGAGTAGCATTAGGCTAGAGAGAGGGGAGGCAGGAATCTGGAAGAGCTGTCTTCCAGATGTGACCATCTCCTGAGGACAGGGACCATGTCTCATGTGCTGCCCATCTCGCCCCACAGACAGAGCCTGCAGCCAACAACGCCCCAGGAGCCCTCGGTTCCAACCAACTGATGCCCCTGTGCCCACTGGCCCATGCCATGCAGCCCCAGTCCGTTCTGCACAGCGGCTACTTCCACCCACTGCTTCGGGCCTGGCAGACAGCCACCACCACCCTCAATGCCTCCAACCTCATCTACCCCATCTTTGTCACGTGAGTCTCCAGGAATTGGCCAGACCTCTGCTCTGCTGGTTGGGGTTGGGGAGGGAGTGTTGACTGCAGCGGGCATCAGTATTGCTGGGGGTGGCAAAGTGAGCTGTCAGCTTGAAATTCAAGGTACTGGAAGCAGCCTACTTGGATTAAGGACAGGAATCTTAGGAACAAAACAAACTTTGAAAGAACTCATTCATCCCATTTGGAAAATTAGAAGAATAACCCTTGCCTGCCATCCTGAGCTCTTGCAATAAGACAGAAGCTGAGAAGGTGCTCTGTAGGTTGTAAAGTGCTATGTACCTGTAAGAGATGGCAATCGTGATTGTTAATGATAACGCAGACATTTACTGAGTACTTACTCTGTACCAGGTACTACGCTAAGCACCTACACACATGATCTCATTCAATTCTGAGAGCATTTGTGTGAAGAAGGAGTAGCTATCCTCTAGAACATCAGCTCCTTGAGGGCGGGGATGTTTGTCTATTTTGTTCACTTTTGTATCATCAGGGCCTAGAACAGTACTTGGCACATAATAAGTACTCAATAAATATTTGTTGAATGAATGAATTAACCACGCATGATAGACATGAAGACCTAAGTCTCCAAGAGATGATAGAACTTGGCCACGGTCACCCAGGCAGTGAGTGGCTGGGATAAGCAGCAAGGACCTGCCAAATTCAGAGTCCAAGTTCTTAACCACTTAATTCTTTCCTGTAACTACCATTCTTTTAGTACAGTTGCTACTGTTGTCACTGTTATTTTTGTTGTTCCTATTATTATTTCAGGCCCTGGGCTTGACCAGGCAGGGAAGCCAGACACTGGATCCCACCCTCCTCCCACCATCTCCACTGCCATATTTCTTCCCTGCTTCCCAACCATCCCTCTCAGTTGCCCCCTCACCACTGGCCCTTCCCAACAGCCACCAATCCATATCCCACCCCCACTCTTGCAGGGATGTTCCTGATGACATACAGCCTATCGCCAGCCTCCCAGGAGTGGCCAGGTAGGAGACATGGAGTTGGGGGGCCAGGGGGTGGTGGAGGGAAAGATTCCACTGGTGGAAGTGCCGGGAGGTAAAAGCAGACCTAGGAAGTAGAAGATGTGGACAGGCAGACATCAGCTCAGCAGAGGGAAGGGTTTCCCTGGGACCAGAGCTGTTCTACAGTGGGAGGGGCAGCCCTATAAAGTAATGTGCTACCCATCACCAGAGGCGTCGCGGCAGAGGCTGTTGCAGAAGGGAGCTGAACTGCAGATGGGAGTTCAATAAGAGGGCCTTGGAGGAGCCTTCCACAGCTGAATTCCAGAAGAGCTCTGCTACTCAGGGCCTCGGTCTTCCCTCCTATTTAGTGGACGTGTCCCTGCCACTTCCTGTCCTGGGGGCTTGAACCCTCCTGGTGCCATATGCAGCTTGGTTTCTAACAGAGGCACAGTGTGGTGGAGTCCAGAGGACCTTTGCCTGGGACCTGCCTTCCTTCAACCCCTCTACCCACCCCCACACAGGTATGGTGTGAACCGGCTGGAAGAGATGCTGAGGCCCTTGGTGGAAGAGGGCCTACGCTGTGTCTTGATCTTTGGCGTCCCCAGCAGAGTTCCCAAGGTGAAGAATCAAAGGAAGGGCTAAGAAGGGAGGTTGCGCTCACACCCATAATCCCAGCACTTTGGGAGGCCAAAGCGGTTGGATCACTTGAGCCCAGGATTTTGAGACCAGCCTGGGCAACATGGCAAAATCCCATCTTTACAAAAAAATACAAAAGTTAGCTGGGTGTGGTGGTGCGTGCCTGTAGTCCCAGCTACTCAGGAGGTGGAGAGGTGGGAGGATCGCTTGAGCCCAGAAAGACGAAGCTGCAGTGAGCCAAGATCGCGCCAGTGCACTCTAGCCTGGGTGACAGAGCAAGACCATCTCCAAAAAAAACAAACCAGAAAAAGGAAGGGAGGCTGGGCGAGGGTGAGCTGAGGGTCCACACTGACCGCTTCCTTACTCCCATATGATGCTGGCCCTGGGGCCACAGGTAAATGGACATGGTCCCTGCCCTTAAGTCAGCACCCAAGTAGGGTCAGTCCTCTGTGCTTCCTTATCCAGGGGCTGTGACGATGAAGGAAGGAGAGGGCCAGGGCTGTGCTCTGTGACGGCTGCCATCCTGCCTTCCGAAGCAACATGTAACAGATACACTGCTTTGTCCCTCCCCTGCCCCTAGGACGAGCGGGGTTCCGCAGCTGACTCCGAGGAGTCCCCAGCTATTGAGGCGATCCATCTGTTGAGGAAGACCTTCCCCAACCTCCTGGTGGCCTGTGACATCTGCCTATGTCCCTACACCTCCCATGGTCACTGCGGTGAGCTCCCTTCCTCCAGCCCTGCTGGCACCCACACTCCCACTGCCCACTTCTCACCAGGGTGGGGACAGGCCAGGGCCCAAAGTGCTCCCTAAAACTCAGTCATCTCTCCTGCAGGGCTCCTGAGTGAAAATGGAACATTCCGGGCTGAGGAGAGCCGCCAGCGGCTAGCTGAGGTAGCACTGGCATATGCCAAGGCAGGTGAGTGAACCACCAGCAGGGATGGGTACCTCTGGGTCAGGGAGGTCGCAGAGTGGCTAGGAGGGTCCCAGAATTCTGAAGGCCACCCTCTGCCCCACAGGATGTCAGGTGGTAGCCCCGTCAGACATGATGGATGGACGTGTGGAAGCCATCAAGGAGGCCCTGATGGCACATGGACTTGGCAACAGGGTAAGGGCAGGGAGTGCAGCACAGGGTCGGGAGGAGAGAGTCTGCACCAGCCCTGCCCCCGTGTCTGCTAAGAATCACAGAACTGCTGGGAGCAGTGGCTCACGCCTATAATCCCAGCACTCTGGGAGGCTGTGACGGGTGGATCACTTGAGGTCAGGAGTTCAAGACCAGCCAGGCCAACATGGTGAAACCCCGTCTCTACTAAAAACGCAAAAATTAGCTGAGCGTGGTGGCAGGTGCCTGTAATCCCAGCTACTCGGGAGGCTGAGGCAGGAGAATCGCTTGAACCCAGGAGGTGGAGGTTGCAGTGAACTGAGATCATGCCACTGCACTCCAGCCTGGGCAAAGTGAGACTCTTTGGGAAAAAAAAAAAAAAAAGAATCACAGAACTGAAGACAGTGTTGGATGAGGTTTTGGGGAACCATGTCAACCTCTGGGCCTCTGATGGGGAAATCAAGCCCAGCACTCCAACAGGACCAGAACACAGGCACTCTCCCTCCCAGCCTAGGTTCTTTCTCTCCCTGCCACATCACCCTGGGACACCTGGCAAGGGCCGACTAAGCCAAGATCCCCATTGTCTCCCCATAGGTATCAGTGATGAGCTACAGTGCCAAGTTTGCTTCCTGTTTCTATGGCCCTTTCCGGTGAGCAGGGGTGGGCGGGGTGGGCAGGGGTCTGCTGTTAAATCCCTGCCCATTTGGCCCAAAGCTGGAGCCCACCCGAATGACTCTGTTTTGCAGGGATGCAGCTCAGTCAAGCCCAGCTTTTGGGGACCGCCGCTGCTACCAGCTGCCCCCTGGAGCACGAGGCCTGGCCCTCCGAGCTGTGGTGAGTCACTAGGACTTGAGCCCCACCCTCAGCCCCTCCCAGACACTGCCCACACTCGACCCTCATCTCTTAGGACCGGGATGTACGGGAAGGAGCTGACGTACTCATGGTGAAGCCGGGAATGCCCTACCTGGACATCGTGCGGGAGGTAAAGGACAAGGTGAGCGCAGGTCCGAGGCAAAGGGGGCTCAGAGGGCTGGGACAGAGTTTTCCGCAGACTCTGGAATCTCAGTGTTGGAAGCAGTCTGCCCTTGAGCAGAAATCCTCTCCTCCCCATCCCTGCCCAGGAACCACCATGGCCTTCTGTGTCAGGGCTTGCAGGAGCCTCAAACAGCCCTGCTTTAACAGTTCGAGTGGGCCAGGCTGCTGGCTGCAGTAACCCAGGACACGGGGCTCAAGATGGTCACAGATTGAGCAGGGGGAAGGGACGCTCCCAGGGCCACATTAACCCTCCATTTCAGCCTGTCTCCCTGTCTGCTTCCCTGCAGCACCCCGACCTCCCTCTCGCCGTGTACCATGTCTCTGGAGAGTTTGCCATGCTGTGGCACGGAGCCCAGGCTGGGGCATTTGATCTCAAGGCTGCCGTACTGGAGGCCATGACTGCCTTCCGCAGAGCAGGTAGGCAGGCAGGGGTTGGGTGTTTTGACCTGTGCCACAGGGACTGATAAGCACTCTGCCTAGATCAAGGAACGAAGTCCTGAGAGCTTGGAGTCTTATTTCGGGAATTACTAGTGATCTAAACAGACACACATTGAGGAAGAGATATGGAACTGCAGCATAGAACACGACATGGTGAAGCAAGCAGAGCCCTTCATTCATTTTTGGTTGTGAGAACGTGGGCAAGCCACTTCTTAGAACCTCAGTGTCCTCACCCATAACTGGATAACTGGGGACAAGATACCTGGTGCGTGATTGTCCTGAGGATTAAATGAGGTAGTATCACTCCATAAAGGGGGCTCATTTTGTTAGAACTGTACACCAGCACAGGAAGGGAACTTGCATCTTACCTATATCCTTCACTGTGCATATTATTCTTTGGTAAACTGAGGTCCCAAGAGAGAAAATGACTTGCCCAAGAAATAGAGCTGCCCAAAGCTGGACTCTGTCTCATGTGGTGTGCCCACAGGCTGTGCCTCTTCATGGTAGCCTTCTTCCCCGCCTGGCCTTCCCATCCCAGGAGGTGTGCTCGGAGCTGATCACCGTCCCCCGCAACTTTCCGCATCTCTCCCAACACAGGTGCTGACATCATCATCACCTACTACACACCCCAGCTGCTGCAGTGGCTGAAGAAAGAATGACGGAGACAGTGCAGGCCTGAGAACTAGAACTTTGAAACGTTCCCGGGGCCTCAGAGAAGTGAAAACCAAAGTAAATCCTGCTTTTAGAACTGTGCCCTCGTGCCCTCTTCCTGCTCACATGCTGGCGGGGCCCAGCAGCCCCGGGTTTTGCCGGGTTTTGCCAGCATGCTGACTCTTGGAACTCGCAGCTGCATCCTATGAGCTCTCCCAAGCTTCCCCGCCCCTCGCCTGGGTCAGCCATGAGGCTCACCTTTGCCACCCTCAGCTCTTTCCTCTGGGGTGGCTTCAGCTTGAAAGCAACCTGGAATCGGGGGCGCAGGCTTTGGGGCATGGCTGGGAGAGAGTCTTGGAGCATTAGGGGAAGAGGAGAGCAGAGGGATCTCGGGGCCTGAGAAGCCTTGGAACGCTTCTGGCAGCAGAGCTGGGTGTGGGAATGAGGCCTAGATCGATATCCCTGGGTTAGAGTTGAAATTTGCTGCAATTCCACTGGAAGGCATTTCCCACACAGGCCAGAGGTTGCCAGGCTGCCTGAGGTCTCCTGTTCTACTCTGAACCATAAACCCAGAGAAGAATTACTCATTAAGCAGCAGAAATACTGCCTGAGGATCAAAACTCAGAGGCAAAGAGGGAGTTCCTGACTGCTGGAGATGCCACCACCACAAATACTTTTTATTCAAGAGAGACTTTTTGAGAATCTCTGCTCTGTTCCTAGGTTCAGTGCTGGGTCCTGGGAATACAGCAGGACAGACCTCAGCTTGTCTCTTCATAGAAATTATACAAAGAGAATAGGGGAGACAGCTAAGAAGAAAACAAAGAAATAAAGCAGTTAGAAATTTGTGATAAGTGCTCTGAAGGAAATAAGGGGTCTGAGACAAAGAACAACAGGGCAGGGGGCCTCTCTTGAAACGGTAGTTGGGAAGGAGGCAGACATGCACCGGTGATGTGGTGACAGGTGCTGTGAAGGAAGTCACCAGGACTTGACCTGCTTTGAAGGATCAGAAAATACTTCCCTGAAGTACTGACATTTGAGCCTAGACCTGAAGGGTGAGCCGTCAAGCTAAGACATAATTGGAGAAGAACGTTACAGGGAGAGGGAGGAGTTGTGCAAAGGCCCTGGGGCTGCTAGCTGGAGGAATGCAAGGCTAGCCTGTCTGGAGCACTGAGAGGATGGCCTGAACTGAGTGGAGACAGACCAGGACCAAACCATGCAGAGATCAAGGGCCACATTCACCTTTTCAGAGTGACTCAATCAAATTCTGCAGTTTGTAAAAGTATTTTAACAGTCCTGTGGCAAAGTGGAAATGAAAAGTCTTGATGGTATGGACTGGAGCGGGGACAGTGGGGATGGAAAAAGGGGAATGGATTGTGGATGTGTTTAGAAGGTAGATTAGATGCGAGGGATGAATCTGGCTTGATCTTCTGGGTGGCTGATGGGCCATTTACTGAGCTGGGGCAGCCTGGAAGAGGAACAGAAGCAGGGTCAGGGTGGAGGGAGAATACTAAACTTAGCTTGAGACATTTTGCAATGAGGAAGCTATATCTAGAGAGCTTATGGGACTCACCTAAGGCCACTCAACAAGTTTGTGGCAGAACTGGGTTAGAACCACCCAGAAAACAGCCAAGCTGGGATCTGAACCCATGTAGTCCAACTCCAAGGCCTCTGCCCCTAACCACTGTGCCATACCACCTCCCAATAATCAGCAGCAAAAGTATGGGTCTTACAATGTTATAGAGATACCCCTCCACTTATGTGATGGGTTTGCATCCTGATAAACCCATCATAAGTTGAAAATATGATCATAAGTCAAAAATGCATTTAACCCACCAAACATCATAGCTTAGCTTAGCTTAGCCTGCCTTAAACATGCTCAGAACACTTACATTAGCCTACAGTGGCCAAAACTATCCAACACAAAATCTATACTGTAATAGAGTTATAAAGAATTTTGAATCAAAATTCAGTATTTGAAGTACAGTTTCTACTGAATGTCTTGTTTTATACCGTTGCAAAGTCAAAAATCGTGAGTTGAATGATCATAATTCGGTGACCATCTGCAGTTAGTTCCAGTTATAGGGGGAGACCAAGGAGACCAGGCACCTACTTGGTTGCAAGTGATGGAAATCCAGTTCAATAGTGAAGAAGGACATGATTGGTTTTCATAACTAGATTGAGATAAGGACAGGTGTGGTTGGACCCAGGGTCAAACCCCATGGAGGACTCTGTCCCTTTCTAGCTCTCATCTGTGTTTTCCCCAGCTTTATACTCAGGTGGATTTTTGCCACTTGCCAGCAACATGATCCTCAATAAATCTAGGCTTAAGTAGTCGTTAAGATTTGTAATCCCAGAGAAAGAGCCTTTCTGTCCCATCACTCACATAGCAAATCTCTGGAGGGCTCTGACTGGGCCTGTTCAGGTCACATGGTCCACTCGGCTCAGTCACTAAACAATGGGATGGGAGATGGGAGACCAGGTAGGCCTCATTGTACAGAATGCTGTCTTGGACTGAGCTTTTGCACCAGTGGCCTCGTTGGCCTGGAATGCTTTTCCCCTAAATCTATATGGCTGTCTCTCTTGTTAAGATCTCAGCTCAAAGCGTCTCTTCCTCCGAGAAACCTGACCCAACACCCAATCTAAAGTCATTCTTGTGGCTGGGTGTGGTGGCTCACATCTGTAATCCCAGCACTTTGGGAGGCCAAGGCAGGCAGATCACTTGAGGTCAGGAGTTCAAGACCAGCCTGGCCAACATGGCGAAACCCCATCTCTACTAAAACTACAAAAAATTAGCCAGGCATGGTGGCAGGTGCCTGTAATGGAGGCTGAGGCAGGAGAATGGCTTGAACCCAGGACTCAGAGGTCACAGTGAGCTGAGATTATGCCACTGCACTCCATCCTGGGCAACAGAATCAGACTCTGTCCCCAAAAAAAAAAAAAAAAAAAAGTCATTCTCCATCACTCTGTATTAATCAGGATTCAGGTTCAGTGGATGTAACAAAAGCCAAAATACTGATAGCTTGAGATGAAAATTTACTTCTAAGCAATCCAGGGCTGATATGTCAGTAATATGTTGTGAGGGGGTCTCAGCTCTTGCCTTGTTCTGTCATCGTCAACACGTCTTGCCCTCCATCTCATGAATAAAGCTTGTGCTGGGCACAGTGGCTCGCACCTGTAATCCCAACACTGGGAGGCTGACATGGGTGGATCACTCGAGTCCAGGAGTTTGAGACTAGCTTGGGCAACATAAGGAAACCACGTCTCTACAAAAAATAACAAAACTATCTGGGTGTGGTAGCACATGCCTATAGTCCCAGTTACTCAGGGGGTCAAAGATGCAGTGAGTCGTGATTGAGCCCCTGCACTCTAGTATGGGAAACAGAGTGAGACCCTATTGCAAAAACAAAACAAAAAAATGGCTGGGCCAGTTCCCATCATCAGGTCCTCTTTTCAGCCAGCGGGAAGAGAAGAACAAGTGGAGGGCGTGGCCCTTCTTTATAAAGTCATAACCCAGAAGTTGCACACATCATTTCTGTCTACACACCCTTGTCTCAAATTAGTCACACGGTCATGCCCGGTTGTAAGGGAGGCTGGAAATACTCTAGTGGGCCAGGCATATGCTCAACTAAAACTCCAGAGTTCAGTTACTAAGGAAAATGGAGAGAATGGATAGTGGGGCAAATGGCCGTTTCTACCTAATGGAGGTTCTTGGGATCACAGAAACAGTGGTCAGAATATTAAAGAAAAAAGATCCTTAGAGACTATCTGGTTAAATACTCTGATTTTATAGATGGGGAGACAGACCCAGAGAGGTGACTGTCCAAAATCAGACAGCAAGCTCATCAGTGGCAGACCAAGGCTAGAATTCAGGTCTCTTAATTCCAAGCCCAGTGCTCAAAATTCGGGAAGGGGCTGGGCATGGTGGCTTACACCTGTAATCCCAGCACTTCAGGAAGTTGAAGTGGCAGGATTGCTTGAGGCCAGGAGTTCAAGACCAGCCTGGGCAACAATGCAAGACCCCATTGCTACAAAAACATTTTTTTTCAATTAAAAATAAAACTAGTGAAGGGATTTGTTTTAGAGGAACTTGAGCTTTATATGTATTATTTCTATTCATGTATTATATGTAACAAGGATATATTCATGTGTGGCTATGTAAATAAAAATTGAAAACTATATGAAAAGGTGTTATCTTCATTAGTGGAGAAATTCAAGTTAAAACCACAATGAGATACCACAATATATCCACAAAAATGCCTAATACTGGCTGGGCGCGGTGGCTCATGCCTGTAATCCCAGCACTTTGGGAGGCCGAGGTGGGGGGATCACGAGGTCAGGAGTTCGAGACCAGCCTAGCCAACATGGTGAAACCCCGTCTCTACTAAAAATGCACACACACAAAAAATAGCCAGGTGGGTGGTGCGCACTTGTAATCCCAGCTACTCCGGAAGTTGAGACAGGAGAATTGCTTGAACCCAGGGGGCGGAGGTTGCAGTTAGCTGAGATCATGGCACTGCACTCCAGCCTGGGCAACATAGTGAGACCACGTCTCTACTAAAAAATAAAAATAAGGCCGGGCACAGTGGCTCAAGCCTGTAATCCCAGCACTTTGGGAGGCCGAGATGGGCGGATCACGAGGTCAGGAGATTGAGACCATCCTGGCTAACACGGTGAAACCCCGTCTCTACTAAAAATACAAAAAATTAGCCGGGCATGGTGGCGGGCGCCTGTCGTCCCAGCTACTCGGGAGGCTGAGGCAGGAGAATGGCGTGAACCCGGGAGGCGGAGCTTGCAGTGAGCTGAGATCCGGCCACTGCACTCCAGCCTGGGCGACAGAGCGAGATTCTGTCTCAAAAAAATAAATAAAAATAAAAATAAAAATAACATCAGCGGGGCATGGTGACACATGTCTGTGGTCCCAGCTACTTGGGAGGCTGAGGCAGGAGGACTGCCTGAGTCCAGGAGGTGGAGGCTGCAGTGAGCCATGTTTGGCCTGCACTCCGGCCTGGGCTACAAAGGAAGATCCTGTCTCCAAACAAACAAACAAAAAAAATGTCTGGCTCTACTAAAGCTGAACATTTGCATACCTTATGACCCTGTGATTCCACACCTAGGTATTTACCCAACAGCACCTATGTTCATCAAGAGACATGTTCAACAGTTTTCGTAGCAGCATTTTATAATATATGTAATAAGGCTGGGCATGATGGCTCACGCCTGTAATCCCAACACTTTGGGAGGCTGAGGTGGGCGGATCATTTGAGCTCCGGAGTTCAAGACCAGCCTGGCCAACATGATGAAATACCATCTCTACTAAAATACACAGATTATCTGGGCGTGGTAGCAGGCACCTGTAATCCCAGCTACTTGAGAGACTGAGGCAGGTGAATTGCTTGAAACCGGGAGGTGGGAGGTTGCGGTGAGCCGAGATGGTGCCGCTGCATTCCGACCTGGGTGACAGAGTGAGAATCCATCTCCAAAAAAAAGAAAAAAGAAGTGTAATAAACAAAATTGGAGATAACCCAAATGTTCATCAACAGTAAAATATGGTCTGTTTATATAATGGAATATTAAAGGTGTGAGAATGAGTTAACCACAACTACACGTAGCAACATAAATGTATCAAATACAATTTTGAGCAAAAGAAGCAAGGCATAAAAGAGTGCATGCTATATTATTCTGTTTATATACAGTTCAAAAACAAGTAAAACTATGCAATTTGAAGTCAAGATAGTTACCTTTTGGGTGGTAAGTGACTGGGAGTGGACAGGCTGTGGGGGGTTTTTGGAAATTGTTCTTTTTCTTGGTCTGGGTGCTGGTTGCATGGGTATGTTCACTTTGTGAAAATTCACGTTTTGAATATTGCGAGACTGAGGCCCAGAGAGAAAAATAATTGAATGGAGAGCTCACAGACAGATGGCAGAGCTGGGACCAGAACCTAAGGGGTTAGGTTTCCAGTGACCTTGAAAATTGGACAGTATCAGACATTCTTGGATTCTGTGAAATGCAGCTGAACCTCTGGTCTCCCAGTCGCCCTTCCCACCCCTACTTGTGCTTCATGCTTGTAACACAAAACCAGTTTTGCAAGTGAGTCCCCAAGTGAGTCGGGCTCTCTCTTGCAGGGCCAAAGTCTGTGACTCTGCATTTCGTGTTTCTTCTCAGGCCTGAACCCAGTGAACAGACCAACTTGGAACACAGGAGAAAGTTTTGTTTTTTTGTTTTTAAGAGTTGAAAGGAAGACAATTAGGCCAGGCGCAGTAGCTCATGCCTATAATCCTGGCACTTTGGGAGGCCAAGGCGGGTGGATCACTTGAGGTCAGGAGTTCTAGACCAGCCTGGCTACATGGCACAACCTCGTCTCTACTAAAAATACAGAAAATTACCTAGGCACAGTGGCGCACACCTGTAATCCCAGCTACTCAGGAGGCTGAGGCAGGAGAATCGCTTGAACCTGAAAGGCAGAGGTTGCAGTGACCCTAGATTGTACCACTGCACTCCAGCCTGGGTGACAGAGTGAGACTCTGTCTCAAAAAAAAAAAAAAAGAGAAAAGAAAAAAAAGAAATGGGCTGGGCACGGTGGCTCGTGTCTGTAATCCCAGCACTTTGGGAGGTCGAGGCAGGTGGATCACCTGAGGTCAGGAGTTCAAGATCAGCCTGGCCAACATGATGAAATACATAAATTATCTGGGCATGGTGGCAGGCACCTGTAATCCCAGCTACTCGGGAGGCTAAGGCAGGAGAATCACTGGAACCCGGCAGGTGGAGGTTGCAGCGAGCCGAGATGGCGCCATTGCACTTCAGCCTGGGCAACAAGAGTGAAACTCAAAAATGGAAGAAAGTGAGAAAGAGACAGAGAGGGAGGGAGAGGAAAGCAAGAAAAGCAAGAGAGAAAGAGAGAAAGGGAGGGAGGGAGCGAGGGAGGGAGGGAGAAAGAAAGGAGAGAGGGAGGGAGGAAGAGAAAGAGGAAAGAAAGAAAATTAGAT